ATTTGTTTGAACCTGTTTCATGGATTCCATTTCTTTTTTATGTTAGGCGATCATGGTTTCCATTTCTTCCTCATGCTGGGCATTCATGGCTTCGCACCTGTTTCGAGCTCTTCTATTTTTTTATCCGTTACTGTTCTAGAGCCTCTAGTCATGTCTTTCACCCTGCTCACCATCTCTTTAGTTATCTGGGATGTTATTTCTACTTTGAATTTTTCTAGAGCCTCATTCATCTGTTTTGTTCCTTCCTGTGCTATCAGTTCAGGGTGTCCAGGTGGTTGATTATCAGACTTTTCCACCACTTTTCCCCCAGAATTTACCCTTGGTGGGGTGGAAGCCTGCGTTTGTGCCTTGCTTAAATATCTTCTCATTTTTGTTTTTGGTACTGTCCTTGGTTTAATTCCTGGGTTGGTACTTCGAAATTTACTTATTGTAATTATCTTTGTTGCTTGTAATTAGAACCCTTATGGAATGATTGCTGAGGTATCTTCCAAATATATCTGGTGTTTAGGTTTTGAGTCTAATGACTCTGAGGCTATGTCATTTTCATTATACAAGAAAGGAGCACTGACTTGATCAATCACAACACCTTAGCCCAAGTGATACAATCAGCAACACCATAGCATCAAGTACATTTTAGGAAATGACAGTTTGTGAAAGTAATTAATCTATCACCTTTAACTGTGAATTATATCACGATTGAGGACCTACCCAACATATGTTTATAGTGAATAAGCTCTTCATTATAGCAACTTTTCCCTTTGGGATGGGGAGTTAGAAGGTATTGGGAAGGGAGGGATAGATAGGTAGAAGGATAGGGGAAGATTCGCAGTGGGGCCAGAGGACATAGGCGAGAGAAGGAAAAAGAGAATAAAAGAAAAAATAAGGAACAAATCTGAATTAGGGCCAGGACAGGAACAAAAAGGGAGGTGAAGAACAATGTGGGGCAGCAGCAAGAGAGTGAGTGTGAGAGAGAAAGGAAAGAGAAAAGAAAAAGAAAGAAAGAAAGAAAGAAAAATTTGAAAACAGTAGGAATAAAAATTAAAAATAAGAGCAGAAAAACCCCAATAATTATAATTTTGTAAATAAAAAATAAAAATGAAAAATGAAGGACCTCCTTCAGGGTATATCTCTGCTGTCACAACAGATAATGTGGGCAGCAGTGTCCAGATATAAGTTAGCGAGTCTCAGCAAGCCAGTTGCAGACCTGTGCAATTCAGGCAGATTTCTAGCTGCAAGTTCCAAGTTGAGCTCCCTGTCCTCCTGTAGGGTTGAACTCTGCAAGGTTGTACTGCAGGTTCCAGCTGCCCTTTCCCTGAAGATAATACCGGTTCTGATGGGAGGTGATGACCCCTCCAACTTACCCAGTACAGTGGTCTGGTGTCCCCTGTGTCTTTGTAGTGTGGAACCAGGTAACGGAACAAACAAGAGGCTGGAGGGTGGGGGGTTCTGTGCATGCCCACGTGGATTGCTGCCGTGGGCATGGCCAGTCGCGAGGGCTCCTCATGTTCAGGCTGGTCCCTGCTGGTGTGCTTGGTGCGGACTGGATCACACTGAAGATTGTGTGTTCTGAAATCTTGTGGATTATCAGTGATGGATTTCTTTTGTTGCTCTTTATCATGAAAATATCTTATTTCCCCATAAAATTTGAAAGATAGTTTTGCAGAATATATTAACCTGGGTTGGAAATTATTTTCTTTTAGGGCTTGAAACTTTTCAGTCTGAGCTCTTTGGCCTTTAAAGTTTGTGTTGAGAAGTCTGCTGCAATTCCAATGAGTTTACTTTTGTAATCAATTTGCTACTTCTCTCTAACTATTAAAATTCTGTTCTTGAGTTGAACTTCTCGGATTTTGACTCTGATGTGTCTTGGAGAGAGTCTTTTTTGAATATGACTGTTTGGGATTCTATGTACTTTACTTATCTGTGTGTGAAATTGTGTTCCCATATTTGGAAAGCTTTCTGCTATTATTTCAGTATACAGGTTTTTTATGTCATTTGTGCCATCTTCTGTTTTTTACTAATCTTAGATTAATCTCTTTTGCATCATCTAGGAGCTGTTGAGTCCATTTTTTTCATGTTACGTTGCTGTATTTAAGATATTTCCCATTAATTGGTCACTGACAACAAACCTGTCTTGTAGATCTGACACTATTCTAACATTGTTCATTTCTGGTACTCATGCTTTGATAGGATTTTTAATCTCCTTAATTTCTGTTTGGACCCATTTCATCAACTCTCTTTTCTATGCTGGTCTTGCAGGTTTTACTTCATTTTCTTTAGCTCTGCTAGCTTTTTATTAGTATCTTCTGTAGATTTTTTAATCATTTTGTTTATTTGGCCCAATGTCTCTTTACTTATATCTCTTTGAGCTTGCCAAATGCCTTATTGATTTGTTTTGTTATTTCCCCTCATATCATTTCAAATAATTTGGCTGTGTGGCTTTTGAGTTCCTCTCCTTTGATGCCCCATGGATCAGCTTTGGGGGAGATGGGAGCTTTTGGAAGCATTTTGTTGACTTTTCTTCTGGTGTCTATATTTTGTTGTTATTGTTATTTTTGCACTGAGGCTTGCAGATTGATTATAGTGGAAAGCTTGTGTTTAGTATCAAGACCTCTTCAATTGTGTCTACTTTTCAGCTTTATCCTCTGAATGTAGCTAACTACTGGTCTTGCCTGTTTCTGAGTATCCAACCCCCTTTATTTACTTGGGAATGGAAGGTTGCAGCAAATTTGGCCCAGTATCTAGTTCTCCAGGAATGGGCTGAAGCACTATTAATAACTCCAAGGAAATCCAGATATTGGTATTCTGTGAAAACCCATTAGTAGAAACAGCTATGTTACCTTGGCTATAGTAACAAAATGACCATCAATTATAGCATCAAAGACCAAATGAATATCGACAAGCCCTAAGGACCAATAATATACCACCCTTAACCATAGAAAAGAGATCTGTGGCCAGGGATTTAGCTCAGTGGTTCCACTGCCTGCCTCGCAAGTGCAAGGACCTGAGTTTGATCCCTGGTACCAAAAAAAAAAAAAAAAAAGAAGAAGAAAAGAAAAGAGATCTGTAATTATAGCATGAATACTAAGACAAACCAAATACTAACCTACCCTTGACCTACAGTAAATATCTACTGAATGGAACAACTTTACCTCTGCTACCAACTGAACAGTATTCAACAGTGTAAAGTTAACTAGCTCTCTAGAGATCTATAAAGCTTAGTAGTTATATTAGTAAAGGTAGAGGGAGTGGGTAACCAGAGTTGAAAGAGTAAAATCTGAGAAATTAACCAATGGGATATGAGAAGGAGTAGAGATAGAAGTAGAGATAGTAAGATACAGTGCCCTACTGAGGAGTTAAAGGAAATCAGTAGTACTAGAGAACAATTACAGGAAAGAACAAACAAGAACAAGAGTGAACAAGAAAAAATAGGATGAAAAAAGGAATTAAGATTTGTTATGTACATGTACCAATTTCCCACAATGAATGTAAAAATTATGTACTATACACATGTACTAATAAACTATATTAAATAAATAAATAATGACAAGAAAAAAAGATAGAGACCAAAATACAGGAAACAAAAGAAAGATAAGGAAGAGAAAAAAGTTGAAAAGGGTAGATAAAAGGAAAGAAACTAAAAGAGGAAAAGAGGGGGGATCCCCAACCCTCCAAAACACTCAATGAAGGAAAAATAAAAATAAGAAAAAAAAGACCGAATTGAAAAAATTCTTGTGTTTTTGAGAGTTGCTTCTTTTTCTCTGCAGTCTTGGGATCCAGCCAGTGACAGTTTTCTCCATGTGGTTTTAGGGTCTATAGATTTTTCAGGTGTCCTTCCTGCAGCAGTGGCTTCCCTGTCTATTCACCCTAAATTGTGGTTACCATCCAAACCAAGGTGTGTCCTTGCTACCATTGGTAGATGGGAAATGTGATCAACCCTCTGGTCTTTGCTGAATTGTACATGGGTCGGAGGTTCAGGGGACTGTTAGACTTAATGTCGACAGTCACAGGTCTGGTTGTTTCCTTCTCTCTCCAGGTGTTGTCCTCATACATACGGGAGCAGGTACACTGATTAGTCCTCACCCCTGGTACCCTGTGCCAAGGAGACTCACCATGTAGACCTGGCTTTGAGGTGATGGATGGTCTTACGCTTGTGTTGACAGGGTGCATCATGAGGGAGTTTTACATACAAACATTCAACTCTGCCTTTTTTCTCAAAGATATCCAAAGAATTGGAGGATCCATAATTCTTCTAACCAATTACAAAGTATCATTTATTAAGTATTTTCTATATATAAGTCCCAATGCTAAGTACTTTATGAGTATTACTTTATTTACTTACCCTAAGAAGTGAGTACTGTTGTTTCCTTGTTTTGCATATGAGTAAACCGCCTCACACAGGTTAAAAGATTTGGATAAATTCCTAGGATAGCTCAATCAAGATTTGAATTCAGGTCAGTATGACACTAAAGTCTAGACTCTTTGGCCTTATATTTGTTATCTGTCTGGATTATCTACGTGGTACTCATTTCAAGTGGCATATTTCAGTGTAGCACATGGCCTGTGTTTGTTTTTATTGGTCAATGTCAGAACATTAGGGCTTTGTTACTCTGTAGAAGTCCACGATTATTACTGAAAATTTAGGCTGATGGACATTAAATAAAATACATGAAGGCGTACATAATGTCAATATTTAGATACAATATTTATGTTTACTTTTACTATAATAAAACATCACTTTATTTTTTATTTATTTCTTTTTTGGTACCAGGGATCGAACTTGGGTCCTTGCACAGCAGGCAGTGAAACCACTGAGCTAAATCCCCAGCTAAAACATCATTTTAAATCATTACCAACCACAATATATTTATTGAACTTAGCATCTATATCTTCCATAGTCTATCAATATTAAACGCATCAGTGTTCTTTACATAGAAGTTCAATGAATGTGTTTTTGCATGTAATTGATAATGTACTCAAAAGCCAAATTGCTGTCTCATTAGGCCCGAGAAGGCCGGACCACCATTGCGATAGCTCATCGCTTGTCCACAGTTCGCAACGCTGACGTCATTGCCGGATTTGATGACGGAGTCATCGTGGAGAAGGGAAATCATGATGAACTCATGAAAGAGAAAGGCGTTTACTACAGACTTGTCACAATGCAGGTGTAGTTTAACGCCAGAATTTCCCTGACTTTTTTTGAGGGGGAGGATAAGCTAATATTGCTATATTTTCTGTGGAAAATAAATGTTACTTAACTTATCTTGAAAAATAAGAAAAAGTACTTGGTGAATTCAGCAACACACCGGTGTTTTAGCTTTCTTTTTTTCCTGAAAAGAGAGGAGTTAAAGATAAAGAATACTTTACAAAGGTGAGATACCCACTAGTAGCCACTGGCAACATGTGGCCACTGAACATTTGTGTTGTCGTTACTCTGAACTAAAATGTTGTAAGTAGCAAATGTACTCCAGATTCTGATCTCTTATTACATATAAGAACTCAAAACATCTCAAGGGTTTTTAATATATTGATTACATGTTGAAACAGTAATATCATTTGATATCAATAGTATCTTGGCTATATCAGGCTAAGTGCAATATATAGGTAAAATTAATTTTACTCTTTTCACATTTTTTATTATAACTACTAGATAAATACAATTGAGAAATGTGGCTCATGTAAGGGCTTGTACCATATTTCTGTTGACAGCTGTGGTCCAAAGCAAACTTCACTAAGGCAGAATGCCCACAGAAAGGAAATGGCTAGATAAGATACACAGAAGAGATGTGTTATTTTAGCATATTCAGTGGGAATCTTTCTTATTAGTAGTTTTCTTTTTAAAGGTATTACAGAAAAAGAAATAGCAGTTTAACTTCATCCCTTTTTATAAGTCCTGTACTTAAATTACCATTTCTATGGCATCTGATGTTCATTAATCAGTTTCATTGGTCAACTAAGTCTAACCACCTTGTGCATATTTCTTGTTTCAGACAATAGAAAGTGGAGATGAATTAGAAAATGAAGTTTGTGAATCTAAAAATGAAAATGACGTCTTGGCAATGTCTTTAAAAGGTTCACGATCCAGTCTAAAAAGAAGATCAACTCGGAAGAGTATCAATGAATCACAAGAACAAGACCAAAAGCTTCGTACAGAAGCAGCCCTGGTATGTAGGGGGATGTAGAATTTTATGTCCTACCCCCTCCATCTTTGTCCTAGTTGGGTCATTGTGGACCCAACTAGGGGTGCCTACTGGGGTAAAAAAGGAAACAAGAAATGATTTTCCAAAATTTTTCTGTCCCAACACTCAAGACTGTCCTCAAACCAGAAATGTCAACAGTTTCTAATCCACTTGTAATTTAAGAATAAGAATTTATAGGAAGCTTTTTAGAATTAAAACTTATAAAGACACCTAGTGGGTCTTCAAATATTAAAATTTCTATTCTGTTGGTCTCTACTTATAAATATTCTTGTCATCTTTTGAATGTCAGGTCAGTGGTTAAATATATGTAAAAATATTTCTTACAAAATGAAGAAGTACATTAACAGAGTTTGTCAATACATTTTTTGAAGCTGAAGATCCATCAATTGATCCATCAATTTCATGCATTTATTTTAAAAATATGCACAAATTATATATCATAAAAGCATTTATCAATTTTAACTATTTGTAACATTTCATATTTTCAGGATGAAAATGTGCCTCCAGTTTCCTTTTGGAGGATTCTAAAGCTGAACATAACAGAATGGCCTTATTTTGTGGTGGGTGTTTTTTGTGCCATTATCAATGGAGGCCTGGAACCAGCATTTGCAGTAATATTTTCGAAGATTATAGGGGTAAGTTTGTATGTTCACTTCTGGTATTGGCTTGTGAACCCTGATTGAAGAACGAACAGGTTGTATTTGTATCAGTATATGTAAGCCACAAAAATCATGTCCCTTCATATGAAACCAACCTGATCCAAGGTGTAAGAATAGAAGTCTGGTTAGTGAGAGCAAAGCTAATTTTATAAATGTTCCATGTCCTGGTTCTACTCCAAGACCCTGCTGGTTTCTTTCCACAGGCTCAGCCTACCAGCTCCCTAAAAATAGTTAATAAAACTTGTGGGCTAACTTTCCCATCCCCACCACCACTGGGCTCTACGCAAAACCCTTAACCCTCACCTCATGGTTATACATCGGGTTTTCCTTAAGTGTGTGTCAGATTGGCTTAAGAATGAGCTGTTCTGTAGCAGACTCACTTGGCGGGACATGACCAGGCCAAGCATACTACTTGTGTACCTAAGGTGTAATTTTCATCCCATTTCCTAAGAATGAAATAGAAAGAGACAGCTTCCTAAAGATTGAGGTTGACATGTTGCTTCCACCTGATTTTAGTGGTGCCATTTTCAGAATACGGTTACAATCTGGAGAGGCATGTTTGCTGCTTAGTGAGAGATTTTTTCAAACATCCTTGCCATGCTGCTGAGAACTTTGTGGAGAGAGAGTTTGATTACCACAGAAGCATAAGCCAAACACTAGCTTTTGATTCTACAACAAAAAAATGAAAGCATGCCTGGCTAGGTCATTTCAGGTTGCCATTCATGTTTAAAGTTCTCAATAAATCTTTCTTCAACTGTTGAATGTATCTCAATTGTAGACACCTTGTGTCTCTGGTGTTAAGACCCTGGGTTTGAGCCACTTTACTGAAAAAAATGGAACGAAATATTTCCCATGGTCTTCTTTGTGTCAGATAGTTTTATATGTCCTGAAAAAATACTGAGAAGCAGATAAAATGTCTGATTCTGTGGAGCAAGTACTTTGTTCTAGGTCAGGGAGCAGCAGACTTTTCCTAGATAGGGGAAGACAACACATACTTTAAGTTCTTCAGACAGTGTGCTTTCTGTTGCACACTGGTGGAGCAATGTTGCATGCTTTTGTGGAGCAAAACATACCATATACACTATGAAAGCAAACGAACATTTTGTGTTCCACCAATACTTGGTATAAACATTTGGCCATTGGTCCATAGTTTGTTGATCGGTGTTCTGACATGTGTCTTACAGGCATGGAGGTAGACAGCAGTGTCAACAGAAGAAAAAAAAGTAGAAGTAGATAATTTAGAAATGGATTTGGCTGTTTGTCAGAAAAATGTATGGACTTTATATATTTTTTCTGGTGCCTCATAAAATAATAAGCCTGGAGGTCATTGATCCAGGGATGGCACATGAGCTCCTAGATATCCATTAGGCAACCAGCCCATTGTAAATAGTGGACTCTGAGTCACATTGCTTAGGTTTATATCTTTGAGACACCCTTGGCTGGTTGTGCTATGCTCAGCAAGTTAACTAATCTCTGTGCTTCAGTTCATCTCTGTGTAAAATGGTATGATAATAAAACACACTTCTAGAGATGGTTGAGAAGATAAAAGAAAGAAAATATATAAATTTTCTTGAGTAATGTCTGGTATAAAGTAAGAATTTACTTATTGTCAGTAATTATCTTTGCTGACATGACTACTAAAGAAAAAAATGATGTAATGTCTTATAAACCCCCCCCCTCCATTTTTTAAAGCATGCAATTATCTGGATTGAGTTAGGAGTATTTCTCTCTTATAATACAGATTTTTTCCTTGAACCCATGACATTTTCTAGCCTTTCTAAGAAGCATCTTCTTCTTCTTCTTCTTTTTTTTAAGAAGCATCTTCTTGAACCATTTCCACATATGGTGCTCAGGCAGATGGTTGTAGCACCGAACTGGCTTACTGGCTATTGTACAAGGAGTACTCCTTCAGGAGCCTCCTTCTTTCTGGAAAGCTTGGGCTGAGTGAATGAATACCTCTCTATGTTCCCCAAAACCACATCACCAGATTTTCTCCAGACACTTTCGGGTAGTTTGAAATGTCCCCATAGTAAAACAATGGAGTGCTATGTAATATAGTTTCTCACCAAGTGACGAGTGTGTGTATTTCTGCCTTTACACTGGAGAGTATCACACATTACTCCAGAAGGTTACCTGAGCAGAATTATTGGATCAGTTTGTGAATAACAGTCCCTCTCTTGGACTCTAATATAGATTGATGTCTTTGAGGGAAGTTTTAAGAAAGCCAGACCTGATTTCCGCACACTAAAGCTCTCCTCACCCTAAAAACATTCCATATGGTAAAGAGGTCAGACTGAGAATCACTTCTTAGTGAGTGAGCTAACAACTCTTTAAACATTTCCTTACAGCTCTTCACAAGAAATGAAGATCCTGAAACAAAACGACAGAATAGTCATCTCTTTTCACTATTATTTCTAGTCCTGGGAATTATCTCTTTTATTACATATTTCCTTCAGGTAAATATTTAAATTTTTACTTTGTTCATTTTGGGGGAATTTACAAACATTTGTATAATTTTTCCTTTAAATAGAATTGTCTTCTGTGAACTTTGCCATGAACTTTGCCATGAACTTCTATGAACTTTGCCATGAACTCAGCCAGTTGTTTGAGTTCTTTGGCTCCTTGCTTACCTCATCCCGTCACTCCTCCTCAACTAGAAATATTGATGAAGTCAGACAGAATAGATTGTTTGCTCTAAGAAGATGACTGAAAATGAAAGGTGGGGTATCAAAATAGCTTTGAGAGAGCTCTGAAAACAATTTTGGGTGTAAGTACTGATGGCCAATTTAAATATTCAAAGACAAGTCTTCTTGTATTATAAAAACAAAAAGAAACAAAACTCTCTAAGCAGGTGACACTTTTTTGAAAAATTTATCATTCATTTTTACCTAGGAATTGAGGGCTCAGAAAGTTTAATATGATAAGACTTTGTGGGTTTTGGTGTTAGCGTCTGTTAGCCTTCCCTGTGACAGTGCACATAACAATAGCAACTTAAAGGAAAAATGGTTTATTTTGGATTTGTTTTCAGAGTTTTCAAGCCATGGTCAGCTCTGTCCATTGCTTTTAGGCCTGAGGGGAAGCAGAAAAACCATGATGGAAGGACGTAATAGAGGAAATCTCCTCATTTCCTCACAACCAGAAAACAGAGGGAGAAGAGATCCAGAGAGAAGGGGGCCAGGGAGTAGATACAGTCTCCAAGGACTCTTTCTGCCTTGGAGTTTTTCCCAACAATACCATCAAATTATGAAGCAATGATTGGATTAACTCAGTGAGGAAGTTGCAGCCTTTTTGATAACAATCATTTTCCAAAAGCCCTACCTCTGCACATTGCTGCTTTGGGAACCAAGCCTTCATCACACAGGTGTATTGAGAGACAGTTTAGATCTAAAGTGTAAGACCTGGGTTTGAGTGTCAGTTGTATAAGTATCCAGTTTTGTGTCCTTAGCCAAACAAACAATCTAAACTATGTGAGCCTCAGTTTTTTTTTCTTTTGCAAAATAGGGATAATATTGCCTGTAGATGATTAAGACAGGTCATGTGAACAAGCAAAACAGGTTCAGGCAGTAGTAAACATCACTTTCTTTTTTTTGTTTTGGTACCAGGGATCGAACTCAGGACCTTGTGCTTGCCAGGCAGGAGGGGGGACCACTGAGCTAAATCCCCCACCCTATCACTTTCTAAATGAATGAATGGTTAGCCATTGTAACTTTTATTTAGCTAAAACTGAATAGGATTATTGTTTAACATATTTGTTAGTGGAGAGGATGTTGTTCTGGACATTGTAAGAGAATCAAAAGATAAAAACAGACTCCACTAAATATTTAAATTCTCATTTGACCTTGAAAGAAGACCTTGAAAGGATGAAAGAAAGAACTACATAGTAGATTGCTATACCAACTATTAATGGCACAGGTATTTTGAGATGTAAAGACTGCTCAGTAGTTGGTTGGTTAAAAAACATGGAGGTAGTCTTTGAGCTGGTACCTTCAGCTTTAATAGGACTGGCAAAGCAAAAGGAAGAAAGGAATATATTAATAACAGATGGTGCTTAGGAGACTCAGCCTGTCTTGCCTGCAGATACAGGTGAGAACATCTATGAATTCCAGGACCCCAGAAGTATAGACACAACCCAGTCCCTTAAAAGGTTGGGGTGGGTGACTACTTATTTTAGGAACACTGAGAGGGAGCTCAGTGGAGGATAAAAGCTTAGACTCTGGGTTCCCATTCTGGTGAGAATTCTCATAGGTTATTTAGATCCCAGCTCTGCCACCTTGTGATTGTGCTTATGGAAGCTTACTAGCCTGTATAAACCTGTTTCTTTTGAAACATGATGATTATAGGCTTGTGATAAGGATTTAATGAAATAATGTATGTAAAGTACACTGTCAGAGTAAGAACATCTCTCAACAAAAATAACAAGAGTCATTTTCCTGAAGTGGACAAGCCAGATCACATTCCAGGTAATCCAACAGCAGAAACTCTCATGTGATCATCCCAAGTAAACATAGGCACTAGTAGTTTTAGGTTTAACCTCACTTAATCTGGGATTCTTCCCTTCTCCTCCATCTCCTTGCATGGACAGTACGTATTAGCAGAGGGTTATGTAGCATTGCAGCTTTCTGGGGAGGGCACTGGTCTGTGGACATTGTGTGTCCCCCATCATGCTCAGTCCATGGCCCCATATGGCCTCCAGTTATTGGTCCTCCTTTACCATTGTAGCAATGGCTCTTTCCTCAGTTGTGCCCTTTGCATGTGTTTCTTCCCTCTCACAGTGATGTCCAGCCTTGTGCTTGAGAAAACCATGAAGATTTGGCTACCCGCTTCATTTCTCTCTGCAGGCCCAGGGTTATTATCAGGGCCTCTCCTCTTCTGATGTACCACACAACCATTTCCTTCTGCTTCCTCAGGCTGTTCCATGGCAAGTCTCATCTGTCAGCTGTTACTTCCTACTTCCACAAGGAAGGAGGAGCATTACATTTTTGTCTCCCCACACTCATCAGAGTGAGGATTCTGTTCTCCTTACTCTGCAGGTGTGATCTAGCTTGGCAGCACACTCATATCTTACTTTATTATTTCCCATGAACTCTATTCCCTCCTCCTAGACACAGACAATTAGAGCCTTAAATGATGGAAAAGTACAGTGGAGAGAATTCTGAGTGAGCCTGTACCTCAACCTGTTCTGCTCTGGAACACTGGATTTTTCTTTTTACTTAACCACTAAGAGTTCGAAGGTGAGAAAGGAGGATCACAAGTTGAATGCTATTCTGAGCAACTTAGAAACACTCTGATTCAAAATAGAAAGCATAAATAAATGAAAAGGTGCTTGGGATATAGCTCAGTTCTACAGCCCTGGTTCAATCTCCAGTACTGTAAAGAAAAAAGTATTTGGTAACTTTATGCTCTCCATCTTTTAAAGGCTGGTGTGACCATAAATTTATGTTTTCACAGACTACACTTCAGGTCCTTGTATAATGGGGCCCTCTAATTAGGGTCCCAAATTAGAAGATATATGATATAGCCCCCCCGTCTTGGAAAAATATCAGCTTCCTGAGTGATAGATCCATGTTCACTGCAGAAATAAGTGAGTCTGAGAGTGGGAAACAAAGAAATATGTTTCCTGTAAATCTCTGGACAGCCCATCAGTTCTCTGGGAGCAGCAGTGCCAATTTCAAACCTGGCTGTCTTCCAAATACACCAGTGTACCCTTGCACTTTGCTCTGGAACACATGATCACAAAAGTGTAGCCAATTCTGAAAATCAGGCTTTCAGACTTTGTCTTGTATCCTGCCCTATGATTTTAGGCCCCCTTCCTTTTGTGTTTTGGGTGTCAGAGTCTCTTACAATCCTTCTGTGTGACATGTTCTTTTTTGTTATAGGGCTTCACATTTGGCAAAGCTGGAGAGATCCTCACCAAGCGGCTGCGGTACCTGGTTTTCAGGTCCATCCTGAGACAGGTATGTCTGCTGAGGGTTGAGCTTTGGAGTGTGTGGGACTCCTGTTGGCTCCCAGGGTGCAGATAGTGGAGTTCTATCACCTTCCTGGGACTCAGCTCCTGCATTGGGCTGCCTTCAGTCTCAGAGATAGCACAGAACCATTTCCAGATGCAGGCTTAGGCCCCGCAGTCTGTTTACTGCAGGTGAGCACAGGGCCTGGACTGGCTGGACCCAAATGGAGTCTCCGGACTGGATTCACCTCCAGCTTTTTTTCTCCGCAGACACAGTCACCATAGGCAGAAGTGATCTTCACTGCCCCTCAATTTTGCCCTTTCTTTTCTCCTTTCCCCTGTTTCTTGCCCACTACAGTTGCCCTCTGTACTCTTCCATTCCACAAATCCAAACTTATCATCATGGCTCATTTCTCACTTTCCAGTGTCTTTGAATAGTAAACTAACGCACTAATTCCGGCTGCAGTTTTACTAGGCCGATAATAGGTTGATGGAATGCTTCTCATATTCTGCACTCTCACATTCATGACCCTCACAATAGACAGTGTGAATGTTTTCCTTAGAAAGGGGGATAGAGTTTGGGCAACTATAGCCCAGAGAAGCCCCATTGAAAGGGATACCTTTGCTTAGCATCATGAAAATATTGTCCTTTTTTTTTTTTTTTTTTTTTTTCTTGGTACTGGCAATCGAACTCGGGTCCTTGTGCTTGCGAAGCAGGCGGCGAAACCACTGAGCTAAATCCCCAGCCCCGAAAATATTGTGTTTTTAAATAACTTTCTTTTTAAAATCCCTAATTACTTGCCATTGACTGAAATGGTGCTGTAGGATCCTGCTTCAGATGTGATCCTGGAACCCTGGTGAGAAGCCTGTTTGCCCTATTAGGATTTCGACAGGATGTTCACATCTTCCCAGCTGTCTTTGGTTCCACTGTCCTCACTCTTTCCACCACCTCTTAGAAAGACATATTAATGTGAACTAATTGCTAATAATGCAGAGCTAGGACTGAAGCTGCTGAGGGAGGGCACTGTTTGATGGGGTATCCCGCCCTTGGTATCTCAGGGCAAATCACATACATGACCAAGATTTCACTTAGGCGCAAAGTTTACTTTGCTCCACAGCCAGTGCCCTGTGGCCCCACCGAGCCCAAGGGCAACTCACAGATCCTGTGTCTTGAGAGCTGAGTGAACAAATTATAGGATGCCTTTTCCACCAATAGTTAAGTGGGACAAACATACCTTAGGGCCTTCTCTTTAAAAGGCATAGTACTGAACATTGTAAGGCTTTCAAATTTGAATGGTTTCTGTCTTCAAGGTAGTCACATTCCACCGGGGAAGCACTGAAGCCTGTGAGAATACTAAAAAGCACATTGATATTTGCTATCATCAATTATAGCACTTCGTTCTTTCTCAAATATTCTAGATAAAAAAGACAGCTATTGTTATAATGCAAATCAACAGTTCAGATAACTTCTCAGGGACTGCAGACATTTTTGCAATATCAGTTCTTAATTCAAATTAATAATCTTGTATTTGTATATTTAAAAATATAAATAATTTTACAAAAAATCCTATTTTATGTTGACTATCACATTTTAACCCACATTGCTTTTGTTGATTTGTTTTTTGCCCAATTCATTTATTCTGCCCTAAGCTACAGTTACCTAATTGTTTGTTCACCTTCTCTATTTGGATGTCTAATAAGTCTTTCACACTTTAGTACTAATTTTCAAGTTTGAACCCACAAGACTCACTCTTATCTACTCTTTGCCCATATCAGAAATATCAGTATCTCTCTGCCACTTGTTCAGGCAAAAAACCTTGATGACTCTTCTGTGTCTACTGTTGCAATAGCTTCCTACCTGGTTTCATTGCCTTTATCCTCATCCCAGTCTGGTAGGTTCACCTATAATGCCAGAGTCATTTTTCTGAAATAAAAGTCAAATCATATCTCTGTACTCAAAACCTGCCACCCATATCCCTCAGGGTAGAGTCTGGAATCTTTACAGCTGTCTAAAGTTCATACATGACATGTACTACCCAATCTCCAAGAAGCCCTCTCCTACGCTTCACCCTCCATAATCTTCTCTGAGCCCAGTGGCTCACCGCTGACATGTAGGGAGAGAGGTTTGGTGGACCACATGAGGACAGAAATCTCTCCAGAAGAAGCAGCTTTTACAGCTTTACAAAAAGTTTCCTTTTTGGCTCTTGACAGCAGGTAAGGCTTTCTTGCTAGTGAAAGATCAAGTGTGTCTTAGGTTTGAGCCTTTGTGCATGCTTTTTTTTCTTCCCCTTGGATATTCTCGTGTCTCCCATCATCTTTCATGTCTTTGCTCAGTTGTCACTTCACACAGGCCTTCTCCAGCCTCTCCCTGTTTTCTAAAGCAGCATCTTCCCTCACTCCTTTGCTATAGTGAATTGTAGCACTTTGGTAGACAGCCTTGCTGTGTTTTCCTTTATAGAATTTATCACCTGAGATGATATGTGTGTGTATTTATGTCTTCTGCTTCTTGAACCTACACTTTATAAAAACAGTAAATTTGTTGGTGGTGTTCACTGTTCTAACACTTAGAAATTGTGCTGGGTTCCCCTTGGACTCCAGTTCCTTTCAGAGCTTTCCTGGGACTTGGGTGATCCACCTCCCTCCTTCTTCTCTTCTCAAAGTTACTATATGCCAGCGTCTGATCTCCCAATGTCCGAGAGGCTGGTTCCACTGTTCACTGCTCCACCATCTTCCATCTTTCAAAAAATTTTTAACAAATGAAATGATGTATTGATGTTTTTGTGTATTATGCCTTTTTCTTGTCTATTGAACATAAACTTTTGAATCCAATTGCAGGGAATATAACTGATACACAAAACTGATCTTTTGTTTTCCTCCTGGAGGGTTGAAGGTAAACTCTCTTCTGTTCCACAGGATATGAGCTGGTTTGATGATCATAAAAATAGCACTGGAGCTTTGACTACCAGGCTTGCCACTGATGCCGCTCAAGTAAAAGGGGTATGTGCCTCTTTTCTGCTTTTGATTGTACTCATTCCATTTTGAACCTCAGGGTGAAGACTTTTTCAGCACAGATGTTAGTTATTATCATTAAGAAAATATTAAATAGACATCTAACCCACAAACGACACCTGTGTTATAGAAAATGTTGACTATTTAAACATTATATGCTCTATAGTGTGTAGATAACTTGTAAACTTTTTTTCACATTTCTGTGTTACTACTACTATTTACAAGATGCATATAGAAGAACAGTTATTTGGAAAAGAAGTATTTCTCAGTATATCATTCAGGATCGGGCTAGTACAGTGTTCAATCAACAGAAAATTATAATTGCGCCTGGGAAAAGATATGTGTAGCTGGCTACAGAAGCCCCATGCTGGGACATTGAATTTCAGAAGAGAAGAAAAAAAGATTTAAAAAAATAGGTTGAAACAAGTGAAAAACACATGAAAAATTAAAGCAAGGTTGGAAAAAATGTGTTGAATCATATTTTGACTTTTAATTGAAGTGACAGTTTTTTCTACAACTTTTCCTGGCAAAAATGTACAAAATGATGAGGAATTGAAAAAAATATGTGATCTTTGCTGTTTTTCCCTTACCTTGAACCTTACTAATCTTTACATTTTAGTCTTCCTGTAAGACAGTAATATACTAACAATTCTACTATATAATAGATGGAACTTCTGTAAGAATAAGTTGTTAAGCACTCAGCTGCAAAATTGCAAGGTGAGTCTGAAGAATTATTGTTTTAACACAGTTCTCTTTTTTTAAAGCAAACACATTCAGAAGAGTCAACATTTAGGTCAGGTTGTATAAAACCTAACAACAAAGTGAACACTGCTTAAAATAACTTTGAACTTCTTGTTTTAAAGAATAATTTAACAAATTTTTCTTAACACATTTGCAGTACATAGTTATTACATCCATTATGGGGAGCTGGTACAACACATCTTAATTCTTTTTACTTCCCCCTCCCTCATCCTAAACTTCTTTAAAAGAAACAATGATCGTGTCTTGGTGGAGAGTCTACATGGTTGGTCAGATTGTCATAAAGTCCCATGCAAAAAGTGGAGGCAGGATATGTGGCTAGGGCCTGGCTGGTGGTCATAGAAGTAAAGCCCAGATGGTATGGTAATGGCAGCAAAAGACCTAAAGGTGCCTAGAGAGAATGTGATAATCAGAAAATTAGCAAGTGCAGGGGCCTTGATGGTGAGGCTTCACTCAGTTGTTCCCCAAATGGAGTAGGTTATAACAGCTGAAAAACTGTGAGCAAGGAAGAGTTGTAATTGTGGTCAGCATTGTATCTGAAAGTAGATAGTAAATTTTATTTTATTTTATTTTTTTGAGACAGAGTCTCACTATGTAGTTGAGGCTGGCCTTGAACTCACTATGTATCCCAGGCTGGCTTCAAACTGGCAGCAATCCTCCTGCCTCAACCTCCTGAGTTCTGGGATTACAGGCATGAGCAACCACGCCTGGCTCTAGATGGTAATTTTTTTATTTTTATTTTTTGGTACTGGGGATCAAACTGAGGACCTTCCGCTTGTGAGGCAGGTGCAGTGCCACTGAGTAAATCCCGGGCCTCTAGATGGTAAATTTTAAAAGGATCACTTTGACTGCTGTGGGAATAGGCTAGAGGAAACAAGAATAGAAGTAAGGAAGCCATTACAATAATCTAGGAAAGAGGCGATTGTGGCTTAGAGTAGTGTGGCCATACTAAAGATGATGAAATACAAAAGAATTCTGGATATAATTTAAAAGTACAGCTTACAGAATTTTTGGTTGACTTAGATGAAGGAAAAAGGAGTGAGGCAACTTAAAAATGATTTAAAATTTTTTGACCAGCACAGTTGACAAAATAGGGTTAATTTTTAATGAAATCAGGAAGCCCATTGGCAAAATAGGATTGGGGGAGAACTGAGAGTTCTCTGTGGAGCATGATAAATTTGTGATTCCTGTGGTAGACAACCATGTAGAGACGTCAAGAAAGCAGGTGGTTTTTGTATGACTGGAGCTCAGCAGAGACATGTCCTCTGGAAATATGCATTTGGAGATTTTTCAGCACAGGTGTGGCCTTTAAAGATAAGATGCTGGAAAAAAAGATAAGCTGGATTCTCTATGATGCAGTATTTGTGGATAGTGAGTCCTAGTCCTGAGTTTAGGGTTATGAGAGTGAAACATTGGCCAGTGAAGGAGAAAAGCAGTGTAGTAGAAACAAAATTAAGAAAGTGTCTTGTGGAAGCAACAAGCTAGAGTATCAAATCCTTATAAGCTTATTGCTTATAAGATGATTGAACTTTCATATGGTACAGTGAGTGATATGGAGGTGTGCGAAAGCCTGGCTGCTGAAGAGACGGGAGTAGAAAGAAGACACAGTCAGACACATGATGAAAGGCATTCTGTGAAGTGGCGCAGAAAAATGGGATGGTAGGTAGAGGAGGATAGTGAAATATTAGTTTGACAGAAGGGATGTAGCTCATTGGTAGGGCACTTGCCTAGCAAGTTTGAAGCCCTGAATTAGATCCTCAGCACAAAAAGTATTAGCTTGCATTCTATTGTAATTTAAATTGCTTGGAGGATCAGCTAATGAGCTCAAGAGAAGTCTATTGTACTAGATCCTTGGAAGAACATTTTTTAGGGGTGGTGATATAAATGGCATATGTGAGGCCATTTGGAAACAGGCTTTGTGAGAAAAAAAAAGGTTTATTCTAGTATAGGTGTGAACAGAGACTGAAATCAGGGGCAGATTTCAGCTGCTAGCTGGGAAGAGCTGAGTTTATTACATCCATGTGTGGATGGATGAGAGAGAGAGAGAGAGAGAGAGAGAGAGAGAGAAATTAGCTATCTGGGAAGGGAGTTAGGCTTATATAGAGCTTGAAAAGGGATCTATGATCATAAGGAATGTTTGTGACTGAGAGTCCAAGGACAGTTAGCGCAGGTGTATAGAAAATAACGGGATTTCTTGGCTCTAAGGAGATTGTATACTCAGTCCTCAATTTTCTTTTTTTTTTGGAGGGGGGCCTGAAGTTTGAATTTATTTATTTATTTATTTTTATTTTTTGCTTAAATTCTTTAATTGGTACATTTTAGGTATACAATACGTTTACATTTATCAATGGGTGCTTGT